CGTGGATCCCATTGGCGTCGATATCGTATCCTAAGAACCTCAGACTTTTTTTGAAGAATAAGCTTTTTGCAAAATTAGGCACTAAGCCATAAGATAATATTCTTTCTAAACTCTTTTTATGTTGTTGAAATGAGCTTCGTCACTACTTCCTGTTATTAATAGGTCATCAATATAAAAGATGGCATCTTTCATGTCACCGAAAATTTGATCCATAATCTGTTGAAAAACTGCAGAAGAAGTCTTTAACCCAAAAGGAAGTCTAGTAAACCGGTAGTATCCCCTGTGTGTAGATATGATTAATATGTTTCTGCAGTTTATGTCGATGGGGATTTGTAAGAACGCGTCTTTGAAATCGATCTTGCTGAATTTCTTCCCCTCCTTGAGCTTAGCTATAAGATCGTTTATTCTTGGAAGTGGGTATCTGAAATCTTCAAGAGCAGGATTAACAGTGTCTTTGAAATCGGCGCAAACCCTAACGCTCCCATTTTCTTTGTAGACAGCGGTTATAGGACTTGCCCATCGAACATCCGTCACCGGCTCAATGACTCCCTCGTCTATCCATCTCATAAGTTCTTTAGTTACAGCATCTATTTTTGAATAAGGTATACGCCTTGGTGGTATTATCTTAGGTTTGGCATCGTTTCGTAAGTGTATCTTGACCTTAACTTTGTTGATTGGTTTGGTAGTCAGTTTAAATTCACAATCTTTTATTAATTTATTTATTCCATCTTCATAATTGATATCGATGTTTGCTATAAACTTGTTCAAAATATTAATAAAGGCATTGATCCACATTCGTCCCAATAATGCATTTTTATTAGACTTTACGATCACTGCTTGCAAGTGTTTGGCGATACCATCGTAGCTTACTTTAACTTACGCCGATAATTTCAATTAAGTTTCCATCATAAGCTGAGAATTGTAGAGTGGACTTTTTAAGATCTTTAATACCTATTTGTTTAGCCATTTCATGAGGTATAATCGTAAATTTAGATCCCGTATCGACTTGCATATTAACGGTAACATCATTTACTTTTAAAGAAGTAATAAATGCATTGTCATTAAGTTTATGCTTGGTTAAATTGTTGACATTAAAATCACTATCATTATTATTTTGTATAGCGTCATTTTTATTTTCCACAATCTCTTCAATGTTCATATTGCAATTGTTGCTATTACTTTGGCTCTGATCATGATATTGTATTTGTTTTCTTAGATTATAGTTTTTCCATGTATTGTTTCCTCAATCACTATTATTGTTATAATTGTAGGATTCATATCGGTTACCATTTCGATCATCATATTGATTCTGATTTCTTTGGTTGTTGTAAGACCAGGAGATGTTTCTCCCAAAGTTTTTATTGTTTTGCCAGGCATTATTTCTACCATAATTGTTTGAATTGCTATTATCATGCCACCTGGAGTTTCTTCCGTTATAGTTTGAATTGTTGTTGTTTTGCCTGGCATTGTTTCTATCATAATTGTTTGCATTATTGTTATTGTGCCACATGGAGTTTCTTCCGTTATAGTTTGAATTGTTGTTCGAAGATTGGTTATTACAGTTACCCTCACTGTCTCGAAAATTATTGTTTTGATAGTTTTGGCTAGCATTATCATTAGGCCTAAAATCATTATAACTCCTCTTCTTAAAATCAAAATTTTCCCTACGAGTGTTACGTCCATTACAATTAAAATTATTTTCTCTAAAATTATTACGTTCATTATCATTAGAATTATTCTCATAATTACTAAAAGTACTTTTGTATGGTATTTTATCAATATTTGAATTAGAAATTTTTTTTATTTTTATCCAATTTTTTATCATTGTCTACATAATTTGCATAGCTAACGTCTGGTTTTATATTGCTACCATCTAACTCAACTCCTAATTTCATCATCTCATCTACAGTCCAGTCCTTATGCTTATTCAACTTCCTTCTGATATGATCGTTTAAAATAGACGTTATCAATTTCTCCTTAATTCTACTGTCATCTAGGAAATTGCACTTATGTAATTTATGTATTCTATAAAAAAATGTATAAAAAGACTCGTCGTCACGTTGTACCGCTAAGTTAAAATTTTTTATACTAATTTATATCTTACCTCGGAATTAATAACTTGAGTTTATTAAAAACAACCTTATAATCTTTTAATTGTGCCTTTGAACACACGGATGTAATTTTGTCATAAATGTCAATTGATAAGTTATCTAATAAGGTCCTAGCCTTAGATGCGTCAGACGCAATGTAATCCTCAAAGTATGTCTCAACCATATCAAGGTATGTGTCCGTCATCTCTCCAATAAGTTTTGGAAATCTGAGATACGGATCGCATATAGCAGTAAGTTTATTGCCCATAATTAGCATTAAGTTTATTGTCCAAAATAAATATTTTACTTTAGAAAATACTATATGTTTTAAGTTATTAATTTTATATCGAACAAAAAAATTATGTTCATCGTCAAACGGAATTAAATAATTCTATGTCTTTAAATTTTATATCGTCAAAGCAAATCCAAAAAAAATCCTATGCTTTAACTTTGAGTCGTCAAAGGAAATTAGATAAATCAATCTCATTGAATTTAAGTCTTCAAAGGAAATTGGATAATTCTTTAAATTTAAGTTTTTAAAGAAAACTAGATTATTCTAAATCTCTAATTTTAAGTTATAAAAGAAAATCAGATAATATTATGTCTTTATATTTAAATTATCAAAATAAATCAGAAAATACTATAACATGAAAAAATGTGTAATTCATATTCAATTTATATTTTATATACTATAATTTGTAGCATAATAAGCGCATCAAAATATAAATTGGCGTAAAATTGTAAGTTTTAACATTTTGTGATCACGCAATCTATGAACATAAAGTTCTTATCTTGAATAATATGCGGTCTCCCATTCATTAACATATAATTGCGTAGCATCACAACCACACATATCACGAGCATATGTGTGATGAAAATAGTGTCCGGCAAATAAATCGCCTTAAATTCAAACATTAAAAAAAAATTTTTTTTTACCTTTTGTATATGTATATATCAGAATAATATTTGAATATATATTTTTTTTTAAAAAAAAGAAAAGACAAGTCATATCCTTCGAATTTAATTTTCTTTTTACTTTTTTTTTAATTTAAGGCAAATTTTATATATTTTATTTTATTTTTACAAAAACGTGCCGGGGCACCATGAAGGTAACAAGTTATGTTTTGAGTTTTAAATTAATTTTATTTCCACTTTTAAAAAATCAAATAATAATAATAATATGTATAACAATCAACTGGTATATATAATAAAACATTTTAATAGATATTCAAATTAATACTCAATTAACATTAAAATAAATTATTTCAACTGATCACAAATTTAAATTAACATTACAATAAATCATGTTAATTGAACACAATTAACAATTAAATATACTTATTTCACTAGCGTTTACAATCTCAGGGTGCTCAAAAAACTTTTTAAAATTATTTTCAAAATTACCTTTTTTTTTCTTTGTTAACATTTTCAAAATTACATTTTATGTTTAAAAAAATTAATTTTGAGAGAGCTCTTCACTCCTGCACCCCCTCTAAAGCCGCTATTGATATAAAACCATACAATCAGTTAAAATAACTCTTAATTTCATTTACGTAATCTTGAGAGTGTTTTAAAGAAATATATGCTGGATGGATTGATTATTTTTTGCAAATAGAATAATATAATTTTAATAATAAGAAGAAATAAGGAGATAGAATAATCTTATACTGATTATAATTTATTTTGTATGTTAAAAGTTTGAGATTTTTAGATGTAAATAGATTAATATGTTCTTAAACAATAGATCTATCAAAGAAAAATCTATTTTGACAAAAAGTGGAGATGGGATAACCTAATTATCAGGCGATAAAATTTATATCAGAAGATACATCATGTAGTTATCATCTTCTTCTTTATCATGCATATGGTCCCACAGTCGTGGGGTTTGTTTTGATAAGTTTCTTCCATCTTGATCGAGTAAGGGCCATGTCCGGATTTATCTTCTAAGTCATCATAACTTTATCTACTTGACCTTTCCACGTAACACAAGGTCGTCCTCTTCCTCTCTTCCCTGGCACCTCCCTGTCCAATACTTTTCGATTTATACTATTCGTCTCCCTTCTTAGATGACCATACCACCTTAACCGATTTACGTTTATCAAGTCCGCCATGGGTTGAATACCCATTTTTGCTCTGAGACAGTCATTCGTCATATGGTCGAGTCCCCAACCTCCACCGTATCATTCTCATCTCCGTGGCTTGTAATAACTTTTCTTCCGTAGCGTTTAATGTCCATGTTTCACTTCCCTAGAGTAACACGTCTTACGAAAGATTTATGAACTTTGCTTTTCAACCATATTGGAATCTTCTTGTCGCACATTACACCGGATATACTTCGCCATTTAAGTCATCCTTTTTGGATCCGTGCATTGACTTCTTTTACGCAACCTCCCTCTTGATGTAGCATCGAGTCTAGGTATGTAAACCTGTCTACTTTTGGGTACTTTAATTGTACATCCAGCGATGGGGTGCCTGTAAAGTTCATCTCCATGTATACCACTTTTTGATTGTTGACCTTTAAACCATATCCATCTAAGCGTTTTGACCACTTTTTGGCTTCTTCTTCTCCTTTGTCTCTTCGCATAGTACTATATCATCGGTATATAGCATACACCAAGGAGATGGCTTTTGGATGTCTCACATTATCGTGTCCATAATTATATTGAATAAAAAAGGACTTAGAGCGGATCCTTGATGTAATTCAATTTCAACCCGAAAAGGTTTAGAGTCTCCAACTGTCGTTCCAACGCAAGAAGTTGAGGCTTTATAGATATTTTTATAAGCCGTACATATGCGTCAGGGATATTTTGTTTTCTCAAGCACCACCATTTTAAATCGCGAAGGACCGTGTCTTAAGCTTTCTCCAAGTTAATAAAGACCATATGTAGCTTTATTTTCTTTTCTCCATATTTATCCACCATTTGTCTTAGTGCGAAGATCGGATTGATTGTGGATTTGCCGGCCACAGAATTGGTTAGCCGATATTTTCACCTCGTTCTTCAGCCTTGTTACTAAGATCCTTTCCATAAGTTTCAAGGAGTGGCAAGTTAGCTTGATACCTCTGTAATTACCACACTCCTGAGGGTCTCCTTTACCTTTGAATAAGGGTATAATCGTGCTTGCTCTCCATTGATTAGGAATTCGTTCTTCTCTCAATATCTTGTTAAAGAGGTTCGTCATGGTCGTGACTCCTTCTTCTCGGCATCCGACCCATGCTTCCATAGGAATTCCATCTGGGCCATTAGCTTTTCCTTTTTGCATCTTGTTCATTTATGTCCTAACTTCATCCTCCTGAAAGAGTTCGACCATATTTATTTTTGGCTAAATATAGTGGAAATTTTTGTCATTAGCAATATTCATAAGTTCCTTGAAATATCCCTTTCACCTTTCCATCACCTCCTTCGGCTTGAATAAAATTTGACCCTCCTCATTTTTGACTATTTTAAGGACTCCGACATCGCGACTTTTCTTCTCCCTTATCTTTATCCAATTTGTACATAAACCTGTCGCCTCCTTTATGATCCAGTTTGTCTGCCATCTCGATGTACGCAGCACTCTTCGCTATTGCAACGGCCTTCTTCGCGGCTCTCTTTGCCTCCCTATATTCTTGATAATCTTACGACTTTTTAGATTTATGCCACCGTCTATATAGAATTTTCTTTCTTTCAATGAAATCCCTAACCGATTGATCCCACCACCATAGTTCCTTATTCAAAGCTTTGAGTCTGTCCTAGAATCTGAATCGCCGTTTCCTTTATGTCCGCAATTAGCGTCTCCCAATCGTCGTCTACGTTTCGTTCTAACTTCCTGGCACCCAAGAGTGTGGAGGCTTTCTGATGGTATTTATCGTTCTTCGGCATGTCCTTTAGCATTTCATACATAATTCGAGGTTCATAAACCTTTCTACTTTCCGAAAACACTTTTCTTTCAAGATCCTTGACAAGTGGACAATGTTGCCTGGCGATTTATTCTCCCGGTATTACTTTACAATCTTTGATCCTCCATAAATCCTTTCGGCGTATAAGCAGATAGTCAATTTGACTAAAATGCTTTCCACTTCTATAAGTCACAATATGATCTTCACGCTTTTGAAAGTAAGTGTTAACAATCGCCATGTCATATGCTTGGGATACTTGGAGAAGTTTTTCCCCTTCCTTGTTCTTCAGACCATACCCATAGTCTCCATGATTTTGTTCATACCCGAGTCGATCTTATAAAAAAAAATTATTACCGAGTTATCTGGAGATAATTAAGATTTTTTTGAGTTTGATATCAAACCAGCATCAGAGAAAATAGGTTAACTTGAGGTGCTGATAGCTGGGACGGAAAGTATTTTCATAGCAAATATTGCTAAATTGAGTAATTCTAGCTCTTTGCTATTCGAAAATGTCAACACGTCAGTTTCAACTTATCAGTTTTCTAAAAATTAGTCACGCATATGTAAATTGTGCTAAAATGTTATCTGTGAATGAATGATCTAAAATTTAATTAACTGACGGCAAATTGCTTCTATATATTTTTTTAAAAACAACTAAATAATTTATTTATACATGCAAATACGGCTGTGGTATTAAATCTGATAATATATCTGCTTTGAAATAGAGATACTTCAATGTTAAAAAAAAATTTGATAAGAATACTTTATTTTTAGTCTGGAGTGGGATGTGGAATCCCCTTTGTTGCCTATGAGCCTGAGAACATTGTAATAATATAATGCACATGCCAGGAAATAAGAAATTTTTTTTTTAATTTTAATGTTTCTTTTAATTATTATTTAATTCATAACTATATTCCAGTCATAACTGTCAAATTAAGAATAAGTTAATTAGACTGAATATTTCCATAGAACATAATGTTTCGGTAACAAATGTTGTATTTGAGAATTAAAGAGAATACAAATAAATAGTATAAATAAATTAATCACTAATACTTTATTAATTAATATAAATAGTAATTACATAATCATAACTAAAATAAAAAATTAAAATTAAAGGATTAAAAATTATGTTCGCAATTTCATAATAATTAACAAGTAAAATATCCTCGATTATATATACCTTTCTATCCTATTCATTTACATCGTCATTACTAAAATAATATAATAATTCTTTCGTTTTTCTGTTTAACAGTCGATTTGAATATTACTTCTTTTTTCTCTATTTTATTTCTAAGTAAATTTACATATTACAACAATAACTTATAATATATATAAACGTTCATTCTATAAAAACCGAATTTAGACTAAAAGTTTCCAAAAAACATGAATTACTATATACTAAAATAATTTGATTTTGTATTTTAAAAAATTAAATGGATTCTAATGTAAGGGCTCATATTTTAACGCTTATATTTTCTAAATAGTTAAAGTTCCGCTTAGTATATACCCAAGGGAAGAGACAACGATTTAAAAAAACAATTTGTTAATCTAAATATATTACTTTCTCTCGCCTATATCAACCGTTTAAGAATTTATTTTGAAAATGAAGAGACGCACGTTATACTAATTAGTCTTAAATAAGCATACACAAATATGGATGGTTTTATTAACTGAAAATCACCTGATATTTACAACTGATATATATATTAATATGATTGATTTGTATGTATGACATTTATAACATTGATAATATATAAATCTCATTTATAACATATCCCCACACATATGATCTTACAATTCTTCAATCAGCCGATTTGTAGGTTTCCTGGCTCTTTGTGATTTCCGCGTTTCTAGTTTTCCGTTATCTTCCCTATTTTCTAAAATCTCAACTATATCCGACTCTTTAATTTTTATATTTTCCTCTTCTCTCTCTGACTCCATATTTTCTCCATTTTCTTTCCCTGGCCCAGACTTCTCCATTTCTTTAGCTACCTCCCTTTTTCGAAGTTGATCCGCATGCTTTCGTACCATTCTACTTGCTTTCTACCAAATAAGAATATCTACCAGTTCTGGATTTTATAAACCCTTCTCTCCAACCTGAATTTATTTCATTATGCACCCATACCGGTTGTGCAATCTCAAATTCTCTCATATGACTATGTTCATCTTGCGCTACTTTTTGTCGTATATTCGATCGTTCCATTTCATAACTAACATTAGGACGTAACCAATTCAATCCCGTTTTTAAATTTCGCCCCAATAATAACTTAGCCGGTGAACGTCCAGTTGATTGATGCTCACCCATTCTATATGCTAGCAAAACTTCTCCCATGGCTTCCTCGGGCTCCCTGATGTCTTTCCTAGTTGCAAAATATCGACTCTTGAGGGTTCGTATCGTTCTTTCCGCTAAACCGTTCGTTTTTGGATGGTACGGTGTTGTATGTATCAATTTAATATTTTTCTCGAAACAAAATTTTCGAAATTCTCCAGAAATAAATTGAGGTCCATTATCTGATACGATTTGTCTAGGTGTTCCAAACCGTGCGAACCATTTCCTTAAAACCCTGATCATTGTCGTGGACGTGGTCTCTCTCATTACTCAACCTCAACCCATTTAGTATGGGCATCAACTCCAACTAACCATGAATACGAATCAATAGGCCCCGCGAAATCCAAATGAATTCGTTCCCATGGTATATTAGATATGTTCCACGAATATAAAGGAACCTCCATAATATTCGACCGATTACTTTAACAAGGCATACATTGACGAACATATTGTTCAATATCTTTATCGCAATTCGGCCACCAGCAATACATTCTAAAAATTGATATCATAGCATTTATTCCTGGATGCCCTCTGTGTATAATCGTTAATATTGATTTCCTCAAAATGGTTGGAATTACCAACTTCCCATTCCATTCAATAACATCATGATCTACTGACAATTCCTCTCTACGATTATAAAAACAAACTAACTCTGTATTTTTTTCGCATCAAAATCCACCCATCCATGCTCAATGTTTTTAACTACTTTTTTAAATAAGCTATCATTCCTTGTTTCCTTTTGGAGTTCAACTTGACTAATATTAATATCGTGCAAATTTATAGCTCTAATTTTTAACGCGTTTTTTTGATCATTATTTGATTTTATGCCATCTATTGGCAGTCTAGATAATGTATCAGCTACTTTATTTTCTTTTCCAGGAACATATTCAATATCAAAATCATATGCGGACATTTTCCAAGCCCAGCGCGTTAATCGACTATTGGATATTTTTGGTAGTTCTCGTTTATCACCAAATAATTTTTCCAAAGGTTTGTGATCTGTTCGTAATAAAAATTTTCGACCAAAAATGAATGTATGAAATTTTTCCATACCAAACAAAAGTGCTCGTGCCTCTTTTTCTATTGGTGCATAATTTTTCTCAGACTCTAGAAGTGTTCGCGAGGCAAATGCGATTGGTCTGCTAATATCTTTTTTTACTAAATGACATAACACAGCTCCAAAACCAGTGTTGGAAGCGTCACATTCCAATATAATTGGCAAGTTTGGCGAATATGGAATTAGGTTTTATTTGTTGATAAAAGCTGTTTTATTTTATCAAATACCTCTTGTTCCTTGTCCGACCAACCCCAGCAAGATTTAATACTTGTTAACTTATGCAGAGGAGCGGCAATTCCATGTAGATGTGGCAAAAATCTCTCGTGATAATTCACAAGTCCTAAAAAAGATCGTAATTGGTGTATATTATTAGGAGTTGGTATCCTTCGAATTACATCTATTTTTTCTTTCGCTGGATCTATTCCATATTTGTCTATTACGAAACCCAAAAAAGAAACTGATTCATTTAAAAAACGTATTTTGGCCCATTTTGCCTTCATACCCACCTGTTTTAGTTTCATTAGTACTTTTTTTACGTTATTCAAATGTTCTACATCATTTTTCCCCGTTATGATAATATCGTCAAGATATACTCCGGTCATTTGGCAGTCTTGTAATAAATTGTCCATATATCTTTGAAATTTGGTCGGCGCACTAGAAAGACCGAAAGGCATACATTGATTTTGGAAATAACCAATGTGGGTCGATATGGTTAAGTATTCTTTTGAACTTTCTTTTATTGGTAATTGTAAATATGCATCTTTCAAATCTATTACCGTAAATTTCAATCCATCTTTTAATTTAGTTAAAAGATCATCCACCGTTGGTATAATATGATAATCGTACAAAATATATGGGTTTAATGTCACCTAAAATCAGCACAAATCCTGATTTCTCCATTTGTTTTTCGTACGTTTACCGTTGGAGTGGCCCATGTCAACCGTTTTTGTGTTGGATCAATCGCCTTCAATATTCTTGATTTAACCAATCTATCGAGTTCCATTTCA